GTAAATACATAGTCCAGATATATATTTGGATTGACTTAAGAGAATGCTATGTTCACTGCCATGGTAGTCATACAATATTATCTCAATAAGTACTCATTTTACAGGGAAGGAAGTACAGCAGTGAGCTCACATACATGTAATTCATGGGTGTAACCATATGTCCCTCATCCAGAAGTAGATTGAGATAATGATAAAATGATCTGCTGAAGGTTGTTATTGTGCCAGCTAGACAACAGTACCCAGTGAGTTGGGTGCTACTGCATGGAATGCAATATATGCCTTAAACCAGAGGACAATAAACAATGTTGTCATCTCCATGGCCAGAATACATACACAGGTACAGGAACCAAAATGGTGGAGGAGTAGTGAGAATGGTCCTCTCACTACACACCTAATAACACTTGTACTATTTTTGCTTCCTATCCCCATAATCTTGGGCTTAGTGAGTTTGGGGTTCTAGTGCTCAAAGGAGAAATGTTTCTAGCATGGAACAAAGTCATGATTCTGTTAAATTCAAAGGTGAAGCTTGGAGATATTTTGGGCTCCTCATCTGTTGAATCAACAGGCAGGGAAAGGGTCACTGTACCGGCCAGGATGACTGATCCCAATTACCAAGGAGAATCGGTTGTGGTACATACTAAGGGCAAGGAAGAATATGTCTGGAACTCAGAGGATTCACTGGGGTGCCTCTTAGTCCTCTCATGTCTAATAGGCCCAATTAATGTACACTGAAGCAGCCTGGAAGAGACAAGATTACCAAGGAATCAGATCCAGGAAAAAGGTTTATATTACTTAACTAAGTAAAGAACTCTGTGCCACTGAGATGCTGGCAGAGGGTAAAGGAGATACAAAATGGGCAATGGAAGAAGACAGCAATTAGGATTGTCAACTTAGGCTTTGGGAACAGCAAACACTGTAGCAATTATGTTTTATGTTAGTTATGTCCTTTCCCCCCTTTTCTTACTATCTTATATGAAGAGCACTAGTGGTAGTTAAATGCCGTGTTTCAGGTGAGAGCATGATTTAATTATATATCAACCTGCAATGAAATTGTAGCTGAAGGGACTTTGTTTTTTTGCTGTTTTGGAAATATAACAATCTTCTAAACAAAGGATAAAAGTGAGTATTGTAAGATAAAAGGGGTGGACTGTAATGAATATTCTCCTTTCACCCCTCCAGACCTACTCTCTATCCTGCTCTGTGCCCCAGGAGGTTGATGTTGATGAACTGCATCACCTGGGGTTCTGTGCCTCCTGGTTTGCAAATAGATTTGGACAAAAATGGGAGAATAGTAGAGTGACTAACTCTCCTGGTTTGCCTGAAACGGAAAGGTTTACTGGGATGTGGGACTTTCAGTGCTAAATTCCAGGAAAACTGGGATGAGCTGGTTACCCTACATCCTGGCTTCCTGCTTGTTGGGCCAGAAGCTGGGCCTTTTGGCAAAGGCCAGAGCTCCTATAAGGTGGTTGTATCCTACAGCTACACTCTCCAGGAGCCAGTAATCATTCTCTCCCCTTGTCACTTAAGGTAGTAAGTAACTGCTCCCCATTATTGTTTGCCCCAAGGCTGTTCTTCACCCCTTGTCAATTTCTGTAATCCTGCCTATCCTCTTTATGAAGCCTTGAATTACTACACTTGAATGATCCATTTGTTTCCCATTAGAATCCTGACTTTAATTTCCTGGTTTAATTTCTCCATAACAATTATCATTATCTGATAATATAATGTACATTTATTTATTTTTGTTTCCCTCCACTAGAATGTAAGTACCTTGAGGGCAAAGGCTTTGTCAGTTCAGTTCAGTGCTATATCCCCAGCACTTAGAACAGTGCCTGGCATAGATTAAACCCTCGATAAATAATAATATTATATGGCTAGTAATTAATCTATGATTTTATTAATAAACATTTATCAACAATAAATGTTTGTTAATTAAATAATTTGAAGGATACCTTAATGTTAACAGTGACTATTCCTAGAGGGTGGAGTTGTAAATTAAATTGTCCATTTTGTGTTTTTCCTATACTTTACAAATAGACTTTAGTACAATTATATTACTCTACAATAAAAAATGTTATTTTACATATACTCTAAGAGATGTAAACACAAGGAGTAAGTATATCAATTTATGGAAAACTGCAAGGAGGGGGCCCAATTCTGCAGTGATTCTCAGGAAAGATGAGAGCTAGATGCCTTAGAATAGATTAAGAAGGACAAGTTCTGAATATAGAAGAGAGAAACTAAGTAAAATAAAATAAAATAAAGATGTTTCAATACTAAAAAGAGACAGAAGATCTAGAGTATAAAAAGGGACAATGAAGGTGAATTTCATAGGTAAAACAGCAGTAATGAGAGAACCAAAAACAAAAAGAAATAACACAATTTGAAAACGAAACCCTGCAGAACATCTGAACAAAGCTGGGATCAAAATTATTTTACTAAAGATACTTTATAAAAAAGACCACCTCCACTCAAAGGTTTATAGCAACACAATTCACAATTGCAAAGGTCTGGAAACAACCCAAGTGCCCGTCAATACATGAGTAGATTAATAAAATGTGGTCTATGCATACCATGGAGTACTATTCAGCCATAAAAAATGGTGAACTAATACCTCTTGTATTAACCTGGATGCAACTGGAGACCATTCTTCTCAGTGAAGTATCACAAAAATGGAAAAACAAACACCACATGTACTCACCATAAATTGAAGCTAACCAATCAACACTTATGTGCACATACGGAAATAACACTCATCAGAGATCAAGCAGGTTGGAGAGGGGAGGAGGGGATGGGTAAATTCACACCTAATGGGTACAATGCACACTAACTGGGTGAAAGTCACACTTATAACTTTGACTCAAATGGTACTAAAGCAATGTATGTAAACAAAACATTTGTACCCCCATAATATTCTGAAATAAAATTTAAAAAATTATCTTACTAAAAATAATAGTTGCCACCATGTATAAAGAATTTACTCTGAGTCAAGTCTGTGCTCAGAGCTTTACATATATTAACAGGATCTCGCTTAAATTTTTTGGTGTTTGTTATAGTAGTATTGGATCCCAATGAATCTGCTCTCCCAGTATCTATATCGTTGTGTAGTCTCCTTCCACAATAACTTTGGAATTAGTCATGTGACTTGCTTTGGTCAAAGAGGCATTAACAGATGTAACACAAATATAGAAAAGTGCCCTCTCTCTGATTTTGGAAACTAGTTGCCCTGTGAAAAAGTTCATGCTAGACTGCTGGAAATGTGTGAGCCAAGCCATAGCCACCACCAACAGTCAGACGTGTTATTGAGACCATCTTAGACCCCCACCCCAGCAGAGATACTAAATAAATACATGAGTGACTTTAGTCAAGACCAGGAGAAAAAAACGGCCCAGCTGAACTCAGCTCAAGTTGATGACCTATAGAACCATAAGAAGTAACATGGTTTAAAAATGTGTGATGTTTTAAGTCACTCAGTTTTTGAGTCCTTTATTCTGGAGCAATAAACAAAATTCTCAAAATAACCTCCAAGGTATGAATTATTACACACTTACACAGTGAGGAAACAGAATTGTAAAATATGTAACTTATTGAAGTTGGTGAGTGACAAAGCTAGTATTTGTATCCAGGTTGACAGACTCCCAGACTTTTAACTACGGCCCTACTGCAGATGAGAAAGATGACTTGAAAAGAATTTAAAGGAAAAATACTAAACACTGACAGATTGGTTACAGAATGATTATACAGGGAAAAAATGGATGACTGTGGGACCTTAAAAAAGAGGAAGGAAGTGCATCAGAATCTGATTGCCAGAATTGTAAATAAAGCCACATGACTATGCTTGGAGCACTAACGAGATAATATTGCCTAACAGAGTGAGGATGTAAACAACGAAGAATACTGATATTATCTGAGGACACTACCATCCCCCATCCTCTCCATCCCCATCAAAACCACTAAGAAAGATACAATACACTGCTTCTCACCTGAGAAAAGGTGGTGTTCTTGAGATTCATAATTGAACTGGATCTCCATGGACTGCAACTGGACACCTCAGGGAACAAGTGAAGAATTACCATTTCCTCTGTAAACTTTTCTTGTCCACATAAGGGTCTGAGACTTGGAGGCAACTTGGCACCACTGGGCTTGGAAGGGAACCATTGTGCAGACTAGTGATGTAATTTCTAGGACTGGACCACCAGAAACATCCTCTAGATATAGAAAACGGGAAGGAAAAAACAAAATCTCATTTAATTTCCAAGTGCTTTTTCTCAAGACTTTATTAAGCTTCCTTCCCCATCATCCAGGAATCAGGCATGGCCCCTCTTGGACACATTCCCCATTCCAAATCTAGAGATGTTTAAATAAAATTGGAGGTTAATGCTACCAAATAAGGGTATGACGGGAAACATAACGCAGGAAAGGGAATTTCAGGTTAACGCTATGTTATTCGCTGCCCTTCTTGTACAAAAAATGGATCATCATGATCTTTCTTTCTCTCCTTCGCTTTTTCCAACATTCACAAATTCAGGTTGCGCTTTCCAAGTATGGTCGGCTGATTCGCGTGGATTCATTTACGCTTCGTGATTCCACCCGTCCCCCAGAATTTCTGGCGTTCATTCGGTTGAACCCAAGGCCCAGCAAGGGCTGGCCGGGTACCAACAGAACTCTAGGCCAAGAACCAATCAGCACTTCGTGCCCAGGAGCGACCTTGATGTCCTTAACTCTTCATGGACTCGAGAAACCGAACACAGGTTCTTGGCGGTGCTGCGAGGCGCTTGTCGGCTAGATCACCCGGGGTTCCTCGGCCTTCCGTGAGCTGGTCTCACCCGTACCTCGACGTGGTCTCCGGACCGCTACCAAGCTTCACACCCGGCGAGCCCGCCATCGCGCTGTCCGCTCTAGGCCTCTGGGAGGATTGCTCAGCTCTATGGCACGTCGCGCGCACGCGCCGAGAATTAACTCCTGAACGTCCGCAGAGCTGCCTCCAGAGGCGTCTTAGCCAGGGACCTGCTTGGCCAGAGACAGATTCCTTGCTGCCCTATCTGCCGGTTCTTGAGGTGAATGTCGGAATCCATCATCCGTTGGGAAGACTCTGTGGGGCAGGGTAGGTTTTCTGACTAAATAATGAGATCTTCATTAGTTTTTTTTTTTTTTAATAACCACCCCTCCCCCATCGCTTAATCTTAATCGCATCATTCGCAGGTGTGCTGCCATTCTAACTTTCTTCTTGTCCTCTCTGTTTTTTCTTTACCCCCAGAACAGTGGAGCGCCTCAGAATCACCTGGAGGCCTTGTTAAAATACTGACTGCTGCCCGTACGCCCAGAGTGTGTGACTCAGTGCAGTCAGGGCTGGGGTGGGCGCCCAGGTTCTCAGGTGATCGGGATGCTGTTGATCTTGGGACCACACTATGAGAAACTCCCTAGAAATAAGTGATGCTCAGTAATGAATCCCAGAATTGCTGGAAAGCTGGATTTTCATGGTCTGTTTAGTTTGCTTGCCAGTACAGTCCTCCTAAAGGATCAGGGGTGAGAAGAAGGACTTTCAATGGGGCGAGATTGGGGTGGGGGGCCATCAGGGTAGGAAAGGATATTGCTGTGTCCATGGAAGTATCTTGGGAAATGAGGAGGAGCAGGTAGAGTGTTTGAGACCAGGGAGACATGTGACTTGGGTTAAGATCTCCGGGGAAAGGTACAGGTTTGAGAAAATGGTGGATGGCTGAAGTGATGGTTGAAGTGGAGGAAGATGGCTTCTTGGTCCCAAACCAAGTCCCTCTTTGGATATATGAAATCTTCCGGATAATATATCTGTAAGGGGAAAGAGAGGTAGGAACTTGTTTCTGCCCACCTCTTCCAAGTAGGGAGTGCAGATACTTCTTTTAAAAAGTAAAAAGCTTTTAAAAGGAAGCTGTATTGCTGTATAACCGACCAAAATAAATAGCAAGTGGGGCACAGTGGCTCACGCCTGTAATCCCAGCGATTTGTGAGGTAGAGGCGGGAGGATCACTTAAGAGCAGCCTGAGCAACATAGTGAGAACCCCTGTCTGTTAAAAAAAAAAAAATTAGCAGGGTGTGGCGGCAGGAGCCTGTAGGGAGGCTGAAACAGGAGGATGGCTTTGAGCACAGGAGTTGGAGGCTGCAATGAGCTATGATCTGCCACTGCACTCCAACCTGGGCCACAGAGTGAGACCCTGTCTCAAAAAACAAAACAAAACCCCAAATATTTAAAGTGTATAATTTAATAATGTATACAGAGGTGAAACTATCACCACAATCAAAATAGGGAACACATCTATCAACGCCCAAAGTTTCCTTCTGCTCCTTGGTTATGCCCTCCCCTGCAACCTCTGACCCTCACCACTAGTCTGCTGTTACTGGAGATTAGTTTGCATTTTCTGTCGATTTATTTAAATGGAATCATACAGAATGTACTCTTTTTTGTCAGATTTCTTTCACTAAACATTAGTTTGAGATTCATCTATATTGCTGTGTGTATCAATAGTTCATGTCTTTTTGCAGCTGAATAATATTCCATTGTATGTATATGCCACAATTTGTTTATCCATTCACCAGTTGATGGGCATTTGGGTTATTCCCAGTTTTTTCTATTACAAATACAGTTGTGAACATTCGTGCACAAGTCTTTATAGGGACATACGCTTTTTTTCCTTTCTCTTGGTAGCTGTATGTTGAATGTTTTAAGAAGCTGTCATACTATTTTTCAGAGTAGCTGTACCATTTTGCATTCCCATGACCAGTGCATGAGAGTTCCAGTTCTTCCACATCCTTACTGACTCACTGTGTATCACACTGTGGTTTTAATTTGCATTTCCTTAATGGCTAATAATATTTAGCCTTTTTTATGTGCTTATATGCTATTTGTATTATTAATTGGTAAAGTGTCTGTACAAATATTTTGCCCATTCTGGACACATGCCTTTTATCACATATATGCTTTGCAAATATATCGTGGCTTCAGTTTTCTTAACAGTATTTTTTAAAGAACAGCAGTTTTAATTTTTATTGATATATAATTTATCAATTGGTTCTTTTATGGATCGTGCTTTTGGTGTCACATGTAAAATATTTTCCTAACCTAAGGTCACCAAGATTTTCTTCTATTGTAATAGAAGTTTTAGGTTTTACATTTTGGTCTATGATCCATCTTGAGTTAATTTTTTTGGTTTTAATTTGTTCTTCTTTTTCTGGTTAAAGGGGAAGCTGACGTCACTGATTTGAGACAGTTCTTATTTTCTAATATAGAAATTCAGTGCTATAAATATTACACTAAGTACTGCTTTAATAGCATCCCACAAATTCTGATATGTTGTATTTTCATTTTCATTCAGTCAAAATACTTTCTAATTTCTCTTTTGATTTCTTCTTTGGCCCATGGATTATTCAGGAGTGTTTTTAGTCTCTAAATATTTGGGAATTCTCCAGAGATTTTTCTGATGTTAATTTTAAATTTAATTCCATTATAGTCAGAGAACATACTTTGTATGACTTGAATCCTTTTAAATACATTTAGACTTGTTAATGGCCCAGAATATGGTCTAGCTTCATAAATGTTCCATGCATATTTGAAAAGGATATATGTTCTGCTGCTGTAGGGTGGAGTATTTGATTATTTTCAATTAGTTGGTGGACAGTATTATTCAAGTCTACCATACACCTTGATGATTTACTCACATTTAAATTAATTATTTAGAGAAGAGTATGGATTCCTGACTATAATTATGGATTTGTATATTTCTCCTTGGGAGTCTTGTCAGTTTTTATTTTATATATTTTGAAGCTCACAAGTTGTATACATATTTAGGATCATTATTCCTTTTGATTGACCATTTTTTCATCATGAAATGACCTTCTTTATCCCTGGTATATCAGTCAGTGTTCAACCAGAGAAGCACAACTAGTAGTGAAGTATATGTATATGTATATATGGATTTATTATAGGGAATTGGCTTACACAATTATAAGAGCTGATTAGGCAGCCCTGTAACACTGCTGTATCTATGTGTGATACTGGAATTTGATGTTGACAAGGCAGTCAGGAAGATGGAAGTAAAATGGGAAAAGGCAAAGTCAGGCTGAAAGTCACAAATACAAGCTTGAACCTCATGAGAATAGACTGAAACCCATGTCGATTCTTGTTGCCTTTGACCTTGGTGGTGAGGGTAGCTTCTAGAAGTTGGGGCCATTCGTCACAGAGCTAAACACACATACCTAGCCCCGGGAGTTGGAGAAGCTGAAGAAGGATCTAGAGGAAGGTAAAGCAGATGCAGGTCAAGCTGCAACAAAAGGAGTCAGCAGTCAGCGACAACATATGTGAGCTACAAAATTGCTGCTATTTCCTTTCCACATTACACATCTTCCCAGAATCTCCTTTGCAGCCCACCCAAACTGGAAACATAAAAGAAAGAAATTCTAGGAAAAATAATTCACCCTAGCCAAGCTGACACGTTACAGAACCATCATAGTTCTACCCCTTGTCAACTTGGCATCATACACCTCTCCTTAATCCGTACTTAATATCAAAATAAAGATAGTAACAAAGTTGTGCTTCCACCTAACATGACACAACTATCCTTCATATAACTATTAATTTACTAACCTTTTCCAAAGAAGACGATAAAAGTCATTTTTTGTCTGTGCGTGATGTTCATTTTTCTCCTAGCTGATAACACTTTTCCTTTGATATTCTATAACTTAAATACTAAGATATAAAGTTAACTATTATTAGCACATCTTGTGTTAGATAATAAGGGGATGAGAGAAGGAAGAAACATAAGTTTTCAAGGGGCTCCCAAAAGAAGCTCGGCATTTATGATTGCCTATCAGAGGGTTCTTCTTGGATTCAACCAGTAATTCAGACGTTCAAGACTACTGTAGACCACCCTTGGCATCAGATTCACTTAGAAGGATAGGATAGAAACCAGTGTTGGCCAGCAAGCAGCAACTATTCCTTCTCAATGAATGAGTTTTTTTTTTTTTTTTTTTTGAGACAGAGTCTCACTGTGTTGCCCGGGCTAGAGTGAGTGCCATGGCGTCAGCCTAGCTCACAGCAACCTCAAACTCCTGGGCTCAAGCGATCCTCCTGCCTCAGCCTCCCGAGTAGCTGGGACTACAGGCATGCGCCACCATGCCCGGCTAATTTCTCTATATATTTTTAGTTGTCCAATTAATTTCTTTCTATTTTTAGTAGAGACGGGGTCTCGCTCTTGCTCAGGCTGGTTTCGAACTCCTGAGCTCAAACAATCCACCCGCCTCGGCCTCCCAGAGAGCTAGGATTACAGGCGTGAGCCACCGTGCCCGGCCAATGAATGAGTTTTAATCTAAAAATAAATTTCCAGTTCTGGGTAAAAAAGAGAAGTGAATTCAAATTGTGAAGTCACATAAAAATTAACTTGCCTGTTGCTCAGATAAATATTAACAAGTAGGCTACTGCTGTTTGTTTTGAATAAGATATTTAGATTATGGATAATAAGACATCAATATGCATGTCCAGTTGACATTGACTTTCTAAAAATCAGAACCACTGCTGAAAATTCAGATTCAGAAGGCAAAGTAATGGCCAATATAATCACAGTTACCAAGATTCACTTTGACAGAGGTTGATGGACTTGTGTTAAGAAATACCAGAATTCTTCAAGACCTTTAGGGTTGATTTCATACCAGATAATTTTCTTTGTTTTCAATTAATGAGGTCATTGGTATCACTTTGAAAAGTCTTCAACTCTTAAGTAACTGAAAACCAGTGGTTCAAACAAATCTTGATTTGTACTTATCACATCGTTGTGGATTGAATTGTATCCCTCCAAAAGATATGTTCAAGCCCTAACCTCCATTAACTCTGAATGTGACCTTATTTGAAATAGAGTCTGCTGTAGACTGAATGTTGTGTCCCCCCAAAATTCTAACTCTGAATGTGTTAAATTCTAACTCCTATTATGATGGTATTTGGAGGTGGGGCCTTTGGGTGGTGATTAGGTCATGAGGGTGGAGCCCTCATGAAAGGGATTAAATGTCCTTATAAAATAGGCCTCAGAGAACTCCCTCATCCCTTCTGCCATATGAGGACACAGTGAGAAGACAGCTGTGTAC